AATTGAAGGGAGATTTTTTTTTATCGCTTGGAGCGCACGAAAGGGAATCCCTATAATATTCAAAGAACATCGTGCATTCCTAGGGAGGATAGGGACAGGAGGTAGGTTTTGGAATTTTTTTCGAACTTTTGGAGATTATATGTTGTTGGGAATACTTCCACAGGCAATGAATTCCAGAGCCTAGCCGTTCTATGGACGAAGGAGTCTTGATAAAGTGCTGTTCGACATCTTTCGAGGTTGACAACGAAAGGATGTGCTGACTGGGCTTGTCTAGTTCTTCTGATTGGTATTGCTAGTGAAGGGATGATAGCAGAGATTTCCGAAGAACATTTCCCGTGGAAGTTTCGATAGAAAAGTGAAAGGTCGCCGACCTTTCTACGGTGTTCCAATGATGTCAAATAGTGAGTGAGTGTGGCGTCACCCACCAGGCGAATGGCTCTTCTCTGGATGGAATCTGAGAGCATCAGCGTATGTTTTGGTGCTGAACCCCATATGTGGGAACAGTATTCTAGAACAGGCCGTATCTGCGCTTTGTAGATCATGAGAAGCTGTTGAGGTGTAAATTAGCTTTTCGCACGGAACAAGAATCCGAGTTTTTGTGAAGCAGCTTTTGCGATGAATCTGACATGATTATCCCATGAAAGAGTGTTGCTGATGGAAATACCGAGCATCGATATGGTGGGCTTGGTGGGGATGGTGGAGCCAGATATCACAATATCGGGCATACTGAGTTCCGCCTTTCTAGAGAAAATGCAGGCTTGAGTTTTGGTGGCGTTGAATTCAACTAGGTTGTTTGTTCCCCAGGCTGTGATTTCAGCAAGATCTTCATTGACAGCATTGACCTGCCTGCGCCGTGAGTTCTTAGTTTTCTGGGAAGAAATGGGAATTCTGGAAGAGAACGCAGTATGGAGGGTACTATCATCTGCAAAGCTGTGGATGGGGCAAGTTGTTACTCCCAACAGATCATTGATATAAAGCAGTAATAATATTGGTGCCAAAATTGATCCTTGTGGAACGCCGGAATTGATGCCAAAGGTATCAGACGATACACCGTTCACCAACACGTGAAGCGATCTGCCTGAAAGAAAACTCGATAAGAGATGGCATAGCTGAGGTGGTAAGCCGTATGATGGTAGTTTGTGGAGGAGTCCTTCGTGCCAAACACGGTCGAATGCTTTCGAAATGTCCAACGCGACAGCTAGAGATTCCCCGTGTTTTTCTATTGAAGATTGCCATAAATGGGTGACGTAGGCAAGTAGATCTCCAGTAGATCTTCGATGGCGATGGAGATAAAATTTTGACTGAATAGAGGAGAACCCAGCTGTCTTATGACTGTTCTTCTATTTATTCTGCTATGACGACCCGATAAGAGTCACTAGATTATAAAATCGAACAGGTCTAAAGGCTACACCGTGAACGAAATAAGGTCATTCTCCAATGGGTGATACTATGATCAAAGAGTACATTCACTGTAATTCTCCGGAACCTATGACAGGTATCAAACCTTCGTATCGAAATAATTCATGACTCTAGTTATTTCAAGTTGATAATCGAATAATTCTTTACCAGATGATCTTCCAGATTATGAATAATCCTGATTACACATTCATTTTAAGAAGTTTTGTCAGTATGAATTAATCCCATTAGAAATATTTTTGAGATACTCTAGTGAACGGAGTATCGACAAGAAAATGATATGTTGAAGAAACCTTCCTTTTATTTCAATGGTATTGGCAGTACTCGATTTTCTCATGATTAACTTTCCACTGGAAATAAACTTCGAAAAATAAATGTGCCAATATTCATCGATCCTACCCAAGATTGATTGAATGATATAAAGACAACTCCCAACATTCGTATCAATACTTTTTCCTATTATGAGCCTTTCAAATTGAAATTGACACCTATGAATCCTTCTGCCCCTCTGTTCTATGGCTTGCCAGACAACATCCCCATCAGATCTGATGTCTCATAGTGTGATCCTCCTTCTTCCAAGCTTACCTCATGATTGAAATCTCTGATCAAAGACCTTACAGATTCTCATAACCCTCTCTCTATCAAAAACTCTGTTGACCTCACCAATGAAATCAAAAATTTCAATTTTCCTCCCAATACTGTTTTTCGATGCAGTAAATCTCTTCTCCAGTACCCCCTTAAAGAATTTTAACAGATAAGTTCGCAGCCTACTATTTGAATCAGGTATACCACCTCAACTTTGTTCAAATGTTGGTGCAACTGGTCACCGCCCGTTATGTATTGTCCTGAAATAGTCAGTCCAAATTAGTTCAAAGTTCAATCAATTTCGAAACACAAAATATTGACTCAGTTAAGTGAATGTGACTACGAATCATATGTTATATGCGAGTAATTTTTGCATCTCGTTGTTGTAACTGGAATTGTTTACTCACAACGGCCGCCGTGCTGTCACAGTACTGATGAATGTTCTGATTGGAGCGCTATCTCACCATTAGTTGGAGTATCAGGATAATTCACCGAATTATAACGGAATTGGCATTATCGATGATGAAGCTCTCAATCTCATTCTTGAGTGAGCTGAAAATAGTGGGAATGAATTGAAAAACACAATTAGAGCCAGCGCGGCTAATATTCTGCTCAGAATAGAAGTCCTGGAATCCAGGGTCGACCATTTCGAACAAGGACACCTAATACTTGGAGATAAAACCAAAAAGTTGGAGAGAACGGGTAGGTCGAATATTATCGTTGTTTTTGGATGGGACACTCCGAACATAAATCTGAGTGCGGACTTCATCTGTGGAGAACTCTAAAGACTGGTGGGACTGGATGTGCAGAGCAGGGATATAAATAGTATTTATAGTCTTGGAAAAAATCCAAAACGACTCGACAGAACAACAACGGAACGAATATAAAGCACTGAGAAAGTACCTCAACGAAGAGAGTGACAACGGCAGAAGCTGTTTCATCGGAAGTAATTAACTGGTCATTGAGAATAAAAAATACACTTCACAAGATTTGCAAAAGCAGAAACAGCAAACCATTGGATTGAACAGCACCCCGACAACCCCAACCAAACCTTCTATACAGTAACTGGAACATACTAAAGAACATAATCTACCTCAACAACCCAGAAACACCAAGGAAAATAAATTATTATATGATCAGTCGCACAATAGGCCGTAAATAACTAGACTGCGTGCAAACCCGCAGAAGAAAGTTTGAAACACAATTGTCTCTAGTTTTCCCAAATCAGATTCTCAATAGAACTCAATGACTCAATACACGATCACAACTGCTCCACCACAACATTACAAGAATTATATCTATTTTATACATCAATATTAGGTCAATAAAAGATGAAATTCATCATATTGGGACATTTCTAAGTTATCTTCACAAAATTGGTATTTTAGTGATCACCAGAATATGAGTAGATGCAGTCGAACAAAATTATCTCAGTATGAAGAACTTCATCATATTCAATGGAACTGACATGTATGCAGTACATATAAGACTAGTTCATTATAATATCGATATAATTGGTGTGTATAAACCTCCAGATCACCTCAATGATGATTCCTTGCAATGGGTTGATAGCAAACTAATCGCATTACGAAATACGAGCACCATTATACTGGAAGACTTCAACCTGTATCTTCTCACCCAGGATGACTCAATAATTGATTACATAGATAACTGCACTGCTACTGAATTCTCCCACATAAAAAAACTCATTCCAACGAGAGTGACCGACAATACCAACACCCTGATTGACCATATTATTTATAATCTGGATAAACCGTACATGATAGGTCTCTCAACTATGGACCACTCTATGAATTACCAGAGAGTCCGAATTCTCGAGTTTTTCATCAACAAAATACACACTGTCTCACCGAAGTACGATGTATCGAATGGAATGAATACTCACAAAGCCCGTGTACGACCGGATGGCATTATTCGAAGGCTGATAACATTCAATGATGTGAAGGATTTGTACAATGAAATCACAGTTGCAATTACTTTGAGCATGGAGGTTAATATTAATCAAAATAAAAAATGAAGCAGTAGAGAATGGATAATGCCAAAAATATAGAGGATGAAACGGAAACAGGAAAACTTTCTCGAAAGGATGGAAAAAGTACCCAATGACATCAACGTGACAGAAAAGTACCGCAAACAGAGTTATCAGGTCACTCAACTAGTCAAAAAGTCGAAAAGAGAATACCACTACAGAAAATGTGGAGAGATCAAAGGAAAATCACGCAAAACATGAGGGTTGATCAACAATATTCTGTATGATTCTAGTGGAACTGAAAATTCTGTGCACTCGATTGAAGAAACTAGTGCTCTTAATACTAACACAAAAGAAATATCCAGTATTATGAATGACTTTTTCGTGAATATTGAATCAAACTTATCATACCAAATCCCAAATATCTCATATGTTAATAAGCAGAATGAAGAGCAGAGCTCAATGTTTTTTCAAAGTCAGATAACAATATGATATGATGATGGATATGTTCTAAAGAAGAAACTGATAATTGAATGGCAAACTAGTTTGCCGGACCTGGTACCTACCTTAGATTCGCATTTTTCAATTCTCCAAGTTAATAGTGGGCTCACAGGTGTACGTTATCTGACGTACTTTCACGTTCACCCTGAATATCGACGTATGTTCACAAAACTACTTTACTCGAAATATGCCGATGATTCGAAATTATCAAGACTTCGGGATTCTCAAGGAGTAATGCATCAATTAGTCGTCTTATCGAACCACCAATTGAGGATTTTGCCGCAGGAAGGATGCAGCTTCATTTCTGGTCAATTTCAAGTTGATACATGCATTGTATACAAAAAATTCAGCTGCGTCGATTGGTGCAAGAATAAGGCGAATCTGAATGGAGTTAACGTTGTTTGGAGCTGACTCCGTTATTGTTTGGTGCAAGGAGGATGCAGTTTCGGAGTTGCGTTTTTCTTGCGCCAATTTATTGGATTGCCACAGAATACCAATCGGGCAACGTCGGCATCGTTGAAAGCGCGTGATGCGCTCGACTTGTTTACGATTTCTTGGCAGTGTTACTGTAACCACGAAGAGATTCGGTCACACATAACCACTTGTATTTCCTGAACGCTTGGCCGAGTAACAATAACTTTTATCTTGAGTGATATAGAATCTGATCGAAGTAGTATACTAGTGTTCAGCAGTAGTTTGTCAGATCTTTGTGAACCATCTAGACCAGGATTCAGTTCAGATCCCGATATAGCAGGTGAGTCAGTAGGAAGGTATGAAAGAAAGAGGCCTAACCACCAAACACATACAGAACGTAGAAAATCAAGAACCACAAGAAGAAAATAGAAATGCAGAAGGCCAAACTCGTGAAAAATTCAATAGGAAAAAAGTTGATCCAGCTACTTGGCAACGAAACATGAAGAAGAAATGTATTGCTGAAGGCAAGAGCTATATCAACTGAAAAGGTGTGGGCGTAGAATCTAGGAAAACTGGACCTAACTGGCACTGTGAATGAAAGTGTTACGAAAGGATGAACGGAGAGCAAAGAAAATCAGTTTTATCTCATTCGAACAAAATGAGTGGTGAACATATACAAGATACCTACTTGGGAGGTTTGATTCATACTTTCAACGTTAAGAGAGTTCGCCCAAGAACCGGTGAGAGACAGAGTCGCAGTTTTTCTCACGAATTCAATATCAAACTCGGATAAGAAATGATAACAGTTCTAAGTGCTGCATTCTCTGGTATACATGAAATATCAAGAAAACGAGTCGATAATATTGCTAAAGCCTTTCGTAGTCCGAATATATCTCGACCGATGAGTCAACAAGGCAAGCAAAAAAATACGAAGAACCAGATTCCAGATGATCTATTGCAAAAAATACACTCACATATCAGGAGTTTCCCGCGTCGTGAATCACATTATAGCCGAAACAAGGTTGCCTGCTTTAATTTGGTTTCAGATCTCAATGTGGAGAAGATGTATGGACTATATCTGGAAGTCACTGAACCTGAAAGTATCGGTCATGGAGACTATGAGCCTAAGGTGACATTTGACTTTCATTTTTGATACTTTCAAAGAAACTTCATCTACAGTTTTGGGTCTCTTCGTTCTGGTACCTACCTGTAAAAAATGTGACGTATTACACAATGAGTTGAACGATCAAAATATTGATGAAAGATATGAAGCGGAACTGCAAAATGAGAAAAAATTTCATAAAATCAAGGCAAAGAGTTTCTCCAAAGAATTGAAAGAAAAAAATCAAATTGTGCAGAGAGAAGGATGACATTGAAGTTTAACGTTTAGATTATCTGCAGAATCTTTCTCTACCAAAAATTCCAACTGGGAAAGAATTCTACAAACGTCAGCTTTGGACTTACAGTTTTTGCATCCATTCTAGAAAAACAAACAAGGCTCATTCCTATACATATGTTGAGACTACGGCTCGGAAATCACCGAATGAAGATATTTTCTCTTTATATCACTATATCGAAAATATTCTACCAAATAATATGTGCTCTATTCATTCTCGGATAATGCTGCAGCTTAAAACAAAAACGCGCAATAGTACTGTTTTCACATCTTCTGGTGAAAACAACTCCTATGCAGCAGGTTGAACATCGCTTTCCCGAACCAGGGCACAGTTTTCTTTCTTGCGACCGCTGTTTCGGGGTTATAGAAAAATTCTTGCGAAAGAAGGATTATGTTCTCGGTCCTTCGAATACAGTCACTATATCGAAAATATTCTACCAAATAATATGTGCTCTATTCATTCTCGGATAATGCTGCAGCTTAAAACAAAAACGCGCAATAGTACTGTTTTCACATCTTCTGGTGGAAACAACTCCTATGCAGCAGGTTAAACATCGCTTTCCCGAACCAGGGCACAGTTTTCTTTCTTGCGACCGCTGTTTCGGGGTTAAAGAAAAATTCTTGCGAAAGAAGGATTATGTTCTCGGTCCTTCGAATACAGTCACTATATTCAAGAGTCATCGAAGGGTTTGGTTTCCATAATGGTTAGTCAGGATATGATTTTCAACTTCAGTGGACATTATGACAGTTATTTCAGAAAGATCATAATGAATACTGAGATAAAACGATCCAAGATTTCTCATTACCGTATTTTTGAGTACAACAAGAACCATCTGACGAGTATCGCTGTCAGTGTTTCCACTGGCTTTTTTGTTTTCGAATTATTTCAGATTTTGAGAGATGTTGGGGAAAATCTCAAAGTTGAACCTATATCAGCCCTATTTACAGCTCACCGTTACCTGTGAAGAAGGCAGAATATAGGGATGTGAAGCAGTTGGCTACCAACTTTGTCTTCTCTAACGAAATAAGTCATAACCAAGCGTTGATATGCGGAATAGTCGGTGGTGATTTAGTTGCCGAAGTATCTGGTGCAAATGATGACGACCAATGTGACGACTAATTGATTATCTGTTGTTTCATTCACAAGAAATCCATTTTATTGTTCATTTGAAGGAATTTCTATTCAGTATGAACTTTTATTTTCTCCAAAATGACTGGAAATTTATTTTTCCTCTGATGAATCGATTATGCTTTGTTAGTTTTGAGTAATAATGAACTGAATTCTACTCAACTGATATATTTGTTCAATATTTTATGACAAGAATGACATATTTCATCCACCGTTTGATGCAAGGAGGATGTAGCTTCAATTGTTCCTTGCATTTCCTATATGTTTGTAAATATGTCACCACTGGATCTCAAATGATTTTTTCCTCCAGAAATAAATATCAAATTTTCCATACAGTTTTTTTGTACTGTAATATAAACAAAAGTGGAGTTGCGCCCTTCTTGCGGCAAGGTCCTCAATTGATGTTCAGATCTGTATTAACAACAAAAAATGATCAATACATGTACGCTGTACAAACCAAAAAAGAAATTCATCACTACGTTACTATGATAGTGACAACTTCAATTCAATTCGAAGACAATACGTAAACTCCATTTTCTATACGTTAACGTCTATATGGAGGTCCACGTACAGTTATCACTTCAACTGTCTAGTGATTCTCCGAAGTTGCTGTGAGAGTTTGAATTTCAATATATCTCAATTTTTTTTCAGGAAGAATGTATTGTCTTAGTTTGTTTCATTTTTGTAGTCTCCCACCTATTCCACTTATTTTCCAAATTCCGAAAACGACCTGTAGATGTCAGGGGATTGTTTCTTGACAAACGAAGTTAAAGTAAAAAATATTGCATAGCATCTACATGTCGACCATTCAAACGGTGTCCCTATACAAGAAAAAACGACGTTTCGGCGATTCATTGTGAAATTTTTATTTTTCGATCAATCATAGTATAAAGTCTCAAGTAGACAACCCGGAAAGATTTTCCACACTACGTTACATCATCCCATCAATTTGTTACTCGATACTCTTATTATACCCTTTGTTTCAGATGGGGGACAGAAATCCATCATTGCGATTGCCGGAAAGGTATGTGAAATAACAATGGCTAGTCAATGATTCAAAGTATGATGAATCAGTAATATGTCACTTTTCCAATACAAACTATGTTCATTCATCACGAGCTATAGAGCACGCATGATGAATTCTTCTTTCGAATTGATGAAACGTTCTTCTTCACTACTGTTCAATGATGAATGTAACATTCCTCCTAACCCAAATATGAATATTGTCCTATATGTAGTTCACATAATTATGCTCGATCTATTTTTTTCATTACCAGGACAAGATTTCAATATGTATCAAGAATACGCATTCAATCCACCTGAAATTTTAATGGAAATGTCAAGAATATTCACAGACTCGCTTCATTTGTGCTCAATAGCGAATATTCACGTTTCGCTCCGTAAATTATCATTTGATTCTCAATGTTTTGTTCAATGGCAATCTGTGGTCTAAATGATCAGAAAAAATAGCTTTGTTCCATATGGAGTATCATTGTTTCAAGCATTCTTGATATTCGTTATCCCATACTGTCATTGGGATTTAACGGTATTCAGATGACACTCGGATAAATATTGTCAAAAGCCCCTGTCTGTTTGGATTGTTCAACGACGGGCGGCGTCAACTGTTTCTTTTCCTCACGATGTTGGGATTTTTCTTCAGAATAACGAGGTACGTGATTCATTTCTTTTTCGGAATCAGAGTGAAATCTCTCAGCAAAAACGGATTCAATTGGTATAATCCTCTATTACGCCTCGGATTACAATATTCAACCTCATCCGTTATTTGCTACATATGGGCCTTGTAACCGCTATAACTATTTCATATTATGGGTTTATTGTTGCTGTTCTACATATTGGACATGAGGCAGATATATGACACACAATAAACGCAACTACTGAGTTGACAGATTAGGATTCGGGCGAGAACACTTCTCAATAAACGAGTTGACAGGATCTGAGTTTCGTGCCCCAGTTGGGTTGAATTTTTGTACACGAAGAGAGTCATGTTGGTGTTGATGTTCATCAGATACTTGATTCTCAGTTGATATATTCAAGTTTCATGCAGGGTCATACAGGGTGTTCCGTTGGGAAACGGAAATACTCCAACGGTGGGAAGAGGTGACCTAGGTGGTTCTGAATATACCATATATGTTGGGTCTTACATGTTTAATTATCGAGATATAGGGAGTTTTATCAATTCTGGTCATTTCTTTGAAGGGTCATAGCATTTTTTTTATCGCTTGGAGCGCACGGAAGGGAATCCCTATAATGTTCAAAGAACATCGTGCGTTCCTAGGGAGGATAGGGACGAACCACCTGGTATATTTTTTTGATATTCGGTAGACGTGTTTTCTCACTGCTACCCCAGCGACTTGTATATCCGTTAGGAAAAAGGCCCCAGGCCCGGATTTACAAAAATTCAGAAAATTATTGAGTCCTCGAAAAAACACCCTGTACGTTCGAATTAACAAAATCTGCGTACATATCTGTAGAGAGCACAAAATGTTGAATGTATTTGTGTACTTTCCATGTTTTCGCATGCTATTTTACTACTGAATTTCTGAACCTGCAATGAAGGAGTTGTGAATTTCAATAGCAAAAAACGGAATATCCTCACTTCTTAATATCGAATAATGAAGATTTCGCAACTACACAACTCATTTCATTCTTTTTGATTGTCGTCGTCTGCATTTTAATGCCAGTGTATATTCACAGGTCCTTACATTATTCATGTACCTATTTATTTGTTTGAGACATATTTCTATGTACCCTGTATGTGGATTCACATATTCCAATATTTTTATTGCTTCGATGTGATAATTCCACTTGAGTATTCGTGAAAACAATTGCAACAGATGCAACCCAAAATCCAACCATCTGTTGAGAAATTTCGAATTCCTAAATCAAATTGATTCGAACAAAATTCGCTACAGAACATTGTTATTCGGGGCATCAATTGATTGTGCAATATTGTAATCGCCCTAATACCTATAACAAGCTAATGATTACTATCATTTTCTAGTAGGTAAGTGAGATCATAACATCAGAAAAACAGAAATATGTGAATCCACATACAAGGTGCATGGAAATATGTCTCAAATAAATAAATAGAAACATGAATAAAGTTAGAACCTGTGATTATACACTGACCCGTTTCACAGGCATGAAATTGCAGACAACGACTTCCAAATAGGATGAAATGAGCTGTAAAGTTGCAGAATTCTCATGATTTGATATAAAAAACTGAAAATATTCCGTTTTTAGCTATTGAAATTCACGAATCCTTCATTGCAGGTTCAGAAATTCATTAGTAAAATAGCATGCGGAAACATGAAAAGTACACGAATCCATTCCAGAATGTTGTGCTCTCTTCAGATAGCTAAGCAGATTTTGTAAATTCAAACATACAGGATGTTATTTCGAGGACCCAATAATATGTTGAATTTTTGTTAATCCGGGCCTGGAATTTTTATTTAACGGATATACGAGTCGCTGAGGTAGCAGTGGAAAAACACGTCTATCAAATATCAAGAAAATATACCAGGTGGTTCGTATGCTATGAGCCCTCGAAGAAATGCCCAGAATTGATAAAACACCCTATATCTTGATAATCAAAAATGTTAGACCCAACATAAATGGTATATTCAGAACCACCTTGGTCACCTCTATCCACCTTTGAAGTATTTTCGTTTCCCAACGGAACACCCTGTATATTGGGGAAAAATGAGAAGAGGAAAACAAATGAGTTGGTCACTGGGGCATTCTTCAAAGACAGTACAAAAACTAACAAAATGATGAAAGATTTGACCGACTCATTTTGTGATTGTATGAGTGAACCAACTTCGATGTGCCTTGTGTCTTCAGAAACCTACTACGAGCTGCTCACAATGTAATGTTAGACTACACAAATAGTGTCATATTCCATCAAGAACTATATTCAGTATATAATTGATATTATTAATTCTGTTCGGAATACGCTGAATATGTTCTTATGATGAAATTTCCCTCAACGAAGAGGTTCAAAAACCTTCCAATAACAACATTTGATTGTCACAAGATGTGGAAATTATAGATCACAAAACATTAGGAGAAATACTTTTTGACGTGTACAATTGGACAAGACCATCAGCTAGATGTCACCGCAGCGACGTTTTTCATCGCTTGGAGCGCACGAAAGGAAATCCTTGTTATTTTTGAAAAACATCGTTCGTACCTAGGAAGTTTAGGAAGAGGAGGTAGGTATTGAAAAAAACTATGATATATGGCTTTGAACATGTCCATTTTCTCTCAACCTATTCAGAGTTAACTGCTTCAGGAACGTCGCTTTCCTAGCAGGGCCTTCTGATTGGTATATGGTTTGTTATTTCAGCCAAATCTCACGAGAGCTCTCTCAATTTTTTATTTGTTTCATCCCCATGAGGCTTATCGAAAGAATGAGATCAGATTCTGCTTTCTTATTTTATTTATTTATCTACCATTTTCTGATATTATTCTGAGATTCTTTATTTTCCACTATCAATAATGGTTCGATTATTGATCTATCGATGTATCCCCATATTGTTTCTTCTTGAAATTGCTATCACTTGTATTTTCCAAGTGTCATTATTTTCGTTTGTCAAAACTCCAATTCACACTTAATTTCCACTCATAGTTACTTCTATATTCGATTCGGTTATTCTGAGCCCATAACCTGTTGTAACTCTTCAAAAAACTTAGTGAATATATGAATTGGGAAGTTTTTGTGGAAATCATTCATTTTATGTGAATATATGTATCGGAAAATGTTCATGTCAATCATTCATTTTATTGATAACAACTGAACTTAATAGCATTTTCATCTCCATGACATAACATGATAACAAATACATGTTGAAAACATCATCAATCTTCGATCTTCTCAACAATTAGCACTGAGAGTACCTGCAAACGCAATGATTTCTTGGCATCGTTTCAATAATTGCACTAGGAACTGAAGCGATCATCACAAATTTCCTATTGTCGTTAGTCAGGACTGGCAATGGAAACAACGTCATAACAGTTCCATTTAGAAACAGAGGGCCTCCTAGCCACAAGGAGTGCAGAATGAGTGTAAGGGCAGGACACCTCTGAGAGCTATATCAGTAGGATTGGAAAGGGATATTCTCAGATAAATTATGAACATACAAAAATGGATATATATTTATATAAAGCAATACATTGATGAGGATATCGACTCTTTTTCAGTTTATTCAATAGAAAACAACAACTTTCCTGGCTATATGCCACGACGAACATTGAATCATTTCATCTAAACACACACGATAAGAGTTCGAGAATAAAATATTGAATCTTCTGAGAATATTCCTTTTCAACACTTCCATACCCAATCAGGAGGTTCAAAATGGAAACTTGTGATTTTTATAGTCCTCTAATCGCAGATTCGTGATAGAGTCTCAATCCAGAATTTTTTTCCACGCCCTGTATGATGAATGTCAATTTATCATACACCCAAAATCATTAGAATTATTGGCTGAGTCGATATTGAACCAAGAAAATGGTGCGATGGTTGTTCGAATTGAATAAACTCTATCAGAAACAGAAGTAGGCCACCGATGAGCCTGCTCTTCATTTCAGTGCGAAGCAATATGTGCATCCAACGAACCACAAATTTTTGTATCTGCCAATCGACTGGAAACTGTCATAATCACGTAGGAAATTAGCTTGGTCACAAGGACAGTATCGCAAAACTCCTGGCGAGGATGGTGAATTTTTCGGTAGAAGCGACAAACAAGATCAGTCAATATATTACGATGAATTTCATCACATGTGCGGAAATATTCCACAAAGGTATATCCTGTAGTATCCCGACTAGGGTTTATTCAGGTTCGGCAGATAAGTGAATAAAATACACTACTTCAGTAACTTAACTATATTAATTATTATCATACAGTATCTATACTTTCTATCACTAACCCTAATTCACCTTCTACACATGACGAACGACAGAGATTATTAAGTTCGTGAGCTCACAATGTCGTACCTTCCACAGACCAGTGTTGATGCCGATCAGATCTTGCTCCAACCGTTCGATACCAATTAACCGTTTCCACAATCTCAGCTGGAGTTAATGCTTGGACTCAGCATCCAGGACTCCCTTAGTTATAATGTCGTATGAATTTAGCTTTTCCATGCTTTTCAATACCGCAGTTCCTGTTCTTCTATTTAGTCATCTTTTTCTGACATTTTCTCTTGACAATCTCCTTTTTGACAATTCTCTCAACAACTCCCTTTTGTCTCCTATCAGTTCCTACCTACCAGATCCACAACTATCTGGACTAATCTCTATGAAAAATGAATATACAGAGTGGTCTAATGTATATCCATAGTGGTCTATTACAATCCTTCCTAACGGGCATCAATTTACCCATGAATTCTCAGCTGGTGGTCGTGAAGTGGAAGGATTGGAAGGGGATTTTCAGAGTAGAAAGCAGCAGCGGCAGTTCGAATCGATACTAAGACCAGATATGCATTGTTCCATCCGAGGTCTGATCACCAGATTTCTTGAATGGTATGTGCACAACAAAATGTTATGGGAGAAGAAAACCTGAGAGAAAAGTATATTTGTGCAACTCTTACAGTAAGGTTCGTTTTGTATTGACTAGGTTGACTGCTTGAGAAATGTCTTCATTGTATTTCATACGGGGCATTCTCAGGGCACGCTAACACTTTTGAATTTTCAAAAATAGAAAGACATCTTGCGAATGAAACAAGGATATAAAGAGATGAATCTGATAGAACTGTATACACATCATTTGCTGAACTAGACAACCAAGTTCATCAAGTATAGAGACTTGAATGGGGATGAACATTCAATCCTCCAAGTGATCGATAGTTCTATGTCAGTGCAGTTAGTCAAAGAAGTTTCTAATGTTTTCAACTCTCTGATTATTTTCGACTCTCATTAGAATAGGCTAGTACTAGTATTAATGTTACTCAAACTGAGAACTAGGAAAATAAATGCTGCAAGTGAAACTATCCTTATCTCAGTCCTATTGCAGTTATTGCATATACATCAGGGTATCTTGTCAGTTGAATGTCAATTTATGTTATCTTCCTCAAAATATCGAATAAAAAAGTATGCCTTTAGTGATACGCTACTACACTACACACTGTTTTACGACTGACCAAACCGATTTTTCACACCTTGACACGTGTCTCGCTGACTTTGTTAGCATCTCCAGAAAGGATTAAAACTGATTGAAACTGAAGAGTATCATTTTACTGGCTTCTATTGGAACAAGCGATTCTGGATTCGGAGTATTTTCTGATGTGATAATGTGAATTCCAGAAAATCTTTTAACGAAACTCTTTCTCTTCTAGGTCAATGATAGTGTGGATTTATTGTCCAGCTTCATGAGAAGGAGGAGATCCACAGTGAAACAGACCAAATTTGTAGTAGATCTCACTGATCAGGTCCAACCGAACGAGTGTTTTCCTCCAATTTTGAGTTTCCTGGTCAACGGAAGAGCTGTATATTCTAATAGCACAGGTATCTAGTTTCAATTAAATGATAAAAACTTCATAGTATACGGCCCATAGCTGCCCAGATTCTTTGTTTTTGATAATCAAAGAATCCTCAAGAACCTAACCTTACCGAAATATTACCTACAAATGTCATGATTTTGACGTGAATACTGGGGTGGTCCTAACGACTTACCTACACGAAGTCATTCATCATATTATCGTCAGACCGAATGAGAGGATTATTTCATTCACCAAAGTATCGTATCGATCAAATCAGCAATATAGTCACCAATATATGTATGCCCTTCTATGTTCAGAACGAACAAAAAATTTGTATTAGAAAGGAATATTCTCAGATATAATTATGAACACAAAAAAAATATATAAATGAAGAGATACTTTGGGAATTCGCATTCTTTATGTGATGGTAATAACAATTCTCTCTTTGTTCATTCAACAGAAAACAACAATTTTCCTGACTATATGCCACGATGAACATTGAATAACGTCTATTGAACATTCACGATGAGAATTAAAAAAAAATATCTTCTGAAGTAGAGAATTTGCTTTCTCGTTCATATAAATATATGCACATATTTTGTTTTTCATCAGTGGTTCATATTCAATGCCACCAAGAATGACAATTCGGAAACATCATTTGATATTATCGTGCAATGATTGCCTAGCCACGATGATCACACTTGATTATCTGTTGACTAGCTGAATCCGTTTTCCAACTACGCAACATGTGTTCGGATAACTATGTTAGTATTCTCTAGCTGCTTGAAAACTCAAATTGTTCACCTTGCAGCAAATGATCCTTACTGCGCAGTCAATATCTGTCATGGTTGAGATGACATGCAGATCCTGATTCTGAGTCACTCAACTATGGAAGGAGCTATATGGAATAGATTGTTCATCCTTATTCTCAACTCTATCACTCTATATCTATTCACCCTCATCTTGTTCAAGTCGTCCAACCCCAGACTTTTGATGGAGCCTGGAATTATTCCAATGCTCGAATTCATCACCTCAGCAGGCGTGAGATTGACTTGTTCTCAATGATTTAGCCTTTGACGGACTATCACATCACATGAGCGAAGTGAGTGTTCCGTGGCTTTGGTCGCATTGTTGCAGGAGCATGAAGTGGGAGTCTCCGCTAGACCCAATTTCTTTGAGGTGGTACCTCAGAAGGAAGTGTCTTGTGAGAAAGCTCATGATGAGGTTGGGCTCTGATTTGCTGGGTCTGAATAACCCTTTGGGTTGATTTTGCGAATAGTCGATGAACCTTTTTGCTTGTCGTTGAAGTGAACTTGCCCTTCAGTATTACGATTTTTTCAATCCTCACCATGTCCTGAGTTCCGCCATCAGGTTACAATATTTGCTCGTTGAACAGGAGTGCGCACGAGCAGAGAATGCAGACTCTTCAATTTTTCCTGCAAGGCGATAAGCTTGCCCATCTCCTCTGACTCCTTTGTGCCCTGGAACCCACATAAGTATGACTTTCTTGTAATTCTGAGTTTCATGAGTGTTCAAAAGCAGTTCTATATTAGCTCACGGATGAAAACTAATGGTTCGAGGGCTTTGAGTGCGACTTGGCTGTCTGTGCAGATATAAAATGTCGACACCCCTCAGATATTCGCTCAGGCACCTCTTGGCGCATAGGTTGATTGCATGCATGTATGCACTGAGAGCATAACTAATGATGCCAATCGCTATTTTCAATTCAAGAGAGATGAGAATTTTTGATATTTTCCTACACGGATCATTTTCATCGAGCAAACAAATATTCGTATCAATGAATGTAGATGAACTTATATGTGTTTTGTGCTTTATGCCACGACGAACATCAAATTACATCTGTTGAACAAACACAACAAGAATTTGAGAAAAATAAAGATCTTCTGGGATTGAGGAGTTGCATGCACTCTCAAAATCGACTTTGCTGATCAATACCCACTTGGAATTACTGAATGTAGAATCTTGCTGTCACTAGCAGGTACGTCTGTGTGATTGTCATAGGACAATGTTTCACAACTAGGTCCATGACTTATCTATATACCGCTGTGTGCATCTGATAATAGGAGTAGAGAATGTTATATCCGTAGGCAGATAACTGTAGCTCATTTTGGTGAATCCGTAGGCAGATATATCTTGCTAATTTCGGTAAATGATCATATAGTTTGTGCATGACTCACTTGATGGAGATATTGAGTTATTTTCCTGGACTGTTGTTATGATGATAAGTGAAATTCTGGCAAAAATCCAATTCCAATAACCATGATTTCCACACTGTTTCTGAGAAGATAGGACAAGATATGTGATGAGGTACTTCAAGGGTACTTTCAATTGCCATCATACAAAATGACGTGTACATTGAATCAATATACACCCGCTGGCGAAATAATCGATCCACTCGAAATATAAATGAAATTTGATCGACAAAAACTTCCGTCACTTCATTCCGTCGGTGGATTCATGAGGAATCTCACAAGAAATTGAGATTCCAAGTCATGATGCATATCTTAGGATTATACAGAGTTACAGAAGAAGTGCATATTCACCCCAATCATGGAATAATTCATGAAGTGCTCTAGCTGGAATGTCGTGTAATTGTTCATTCAATGGAGTCGTATTCATTCAATAAATGATGGTCATAAGGAGAATCTATTTCATTCCAGATGATTCCCTTGATAACAAAATGTGATTTGCCTCTTCACATAACAACCTTCATTTACCTCCCAACCTACTCGAATACATCACACACCTTTCCCCTCAAGTCAGTCAAGTCGAATCACTATCCTGGACATCTGGGTCGATTCCCAATCTCTCTGGGGCCCTCCTCATTCTAAAACTTCTTCGTGGTGGAACTGTGGTGATCCATTTCAACTTTGACTTTGTAGAACGAGAAAGGAGAATGTTGATCACTGATGTCTCTTTCCTTCCTTCCAAGATCTTCATGATGATGACCAGAGGAGTATTCAGGAAAATCGATCATTTGATTCACATGGCGTCTCCATGTTTTGTTCAGTTCTGGTATCCAAACAATGTAAGTTCGTGGACCGATTACTTTCTTCACAGAACCTTCAATTCAAGTTGTTCTATTCACAATTCTATAGTCCCTAACAGCTACTTTATCATCAACTCTGAGGGTTTTATTTTTTTTTTCAAGAATATTTAATTTAATTTTGTTACCTTTCCTCAACTTTATTTATTAATTTAGATTCGTGAGTTGAATCTGGAGTTCCTTTTGGCTTCAATAAATCGAAGAAACTTTTCATTTCCCTACCAAATATCAATTCTGACGGTAAAACACCTGTACTACAGTGTGGTGTGATTCGGTAAGTTAAGAGAAAATTATTCAAAATTACATTGATTCGTGATAAGTTATTATTGTCCACCAATTTCACTGATGTATTTCCGAATATTTCCACTGCATTTTCAGCAGCATCATTCAAAACTGAATAGAATTCGAGAGAATTGACAGATTCAATTCCATTTCTCTTCCAGAAAAATCACAGAAGATATTTGATTTGAAATATGTGGCATTGTCTGACACCACAACATCAGGCAATCCAAAACGTGCAAGAATTGTTCTTCAAATATTAATTGTAGTTTTTGTAGTCATGTTACTAGTTTCAATACATTCAATTCATTAAGAGTGAGAATCTACGATAAGAAGAAAACATTTTCCATATAAAAATCCCATATAATCTATATGGACTCGTTCCCAAGGACGGTCCGGATAATTCCATGTCATCAAGCTGTATCCAGGTGGTAAGATGATCTCTATGAAGTTCATTTAATATTTTTCAACGTTACCGGAACGGAATTATAACTTTATAACCCAACATCACACAGCTATTATTCAATGATAGTTGATTTCTGTGGAGTTCAGAAGGTCAACCAATTTGAATATATTCAATAACTTTCTTCAGAGTATTATCATTTCGAGTTTCTTGAATAACTTTTTCAAAATTGATGGAAAAATTTTTGTTTTCATGAACATAGTTGAGATAATGAGTATCTACATCAGGCTCTACCAGCGGAAATTCTTGTGGTAAACGTGAAAAACAGTCTGCATTTTTGTTTTCAGAACTGACATACTGAATTTTATATTGAAAACGTGACAAAAACTTTGAATGAATTCAGAAAACAACAAACAAACAAATTACTCGAGACTTTGAGTTTGGAATTTGAGGTCGCAAAACTTCATGGATACATGAATATTGGCAGGACTTGGTGATTCTGAATATCACATTTAATTTCGGACCACAAGTTACAACTGCTTGTGCTGCTATCTTGGGAAAGATATCGCGAACTGCTATGAAATAAATACCTATATACTCAATCATAAATCGTTCGCTGAAATATCTTCAATAAGAGGAGTAAAAAGTCGGCGATAATTTGGAAGTCACAAAAACAAACTGTATTCGAAAGGTTTCTTCACATTATCAACTAATAGTCAGGTCTGTGTTATATTTTTCATAGTGTAGATGGAAGAATATGATTTATTCATCAGGTTCGAGGTCTTTCTCGATATTTGAGGGATATTGAATAATTATGTGAATTTTTTTTCCCAAAATATCGTGGCAGTCTTTTTTTTTCAGCTCTGTCTATACAGGGTTCCCTCAAATGTGAGGCATCCCTTCCAGAATGAACTATTTCTTCAACAATCGAAAATTCCGAAAAGAGGGAGGTTATCAGGTAATGCGAGAGTCCAAACAGAGCCAGTCCTCATAAGGAGAGGAGTGTCTCAAGCTTTTCCTCTTCTATTCTGCATCCCACTTTTGACACTATCCGTTGAGCTCAGGAAAACCAGAATATGGAACTGCGGCCCACCCAGTTACCACTTATTCTATGTGAATGACCTCAAACTTCATGCCTCAGGTGGAAGGGATAAGGACCAAATCCCTGGGGTGGTGCAGCAGTACACTAAGGCAATTGGAATTGAATTCGGGATGGACGAATGTGCACTGTTTAATCTCGAGAGAGGATGATGCGAGAACTAGGACAAGGACGCGCAGCTCGTGAACGGAAGCATTCTACACCACCTGGATGCCGGAGAGACGTACACCTACCTGGGTGTAGAGGAAACTCACATATAGGAGGCACAACGGGTGAAAAACACTCTCCGCAGCAAGTATTGGCAGCGGCTCCGACAGATCTGGTTGTCAGAACTGTCGGAAAGGAACAAAGTCGCAGCTACTAACATGCTTGCTGTTCTGATCCTACTTTCCTCATTCGGAGTGATGATGTGGTATCAGGTCGAGCTGCGGCCATTTGACGTGAGTACTCTCAAGATGTGGCATCGCAATAAGAGTCTGCATCCAAATTCGTCCGTTTCACGATTATACATACCTAGAGACCAGGGTGGCCTTGGACCCTTGAGCTTGGAGTATCTTCATAACAGGGTGGTTTTGGATGGCGCCTGCAAAGTCATCAGGAGTTTGGATTCCTTTCTACAAATGATTGAAACCCATGAAGATTCACGCGTAGGAGGTTTTTTTTTCTGAGGCAGCACGTCAAGCAGCCGATAAATTGCCTCTGATTTTCGACTTCGAACGCAAGGCTCAGGACTCGATTACTGAGCAAGAGCCCCTTCGGAGAAAGGCCCGCATCAAAGCGGCAGAAGTGAGAAAGCTCCTGCAGCTTCACATGGATAAGCCTATGCATTCGGTCTACTTCAAGATCATTGAAGACCGAGTTTCATTCAAGGAACTGACGTTTGCTTTCCTCAAGTCAGGCGGGCTCAAATCGAAAACAAAAGGGTTCATCATGGCATGCCAGGATGTGGTTTCTGAAATTCTCGTTCACCGTAGCCGTGTCATGGGTTTAAAGGTCCCTGACACAAATTGCAGGCCCTGCCGCAGGGCGCCTGAAACAATTATGCACCTGCTGTCTTTCTGCACGGTGTATGCAGTCTCGGCCTATATTCATAGACACAATATGGAATTGCGTGTGCTCTACTATCATTTGGGACATTTGTTCACAATAGATGAGACCTCAGTGCTGCCCTATGCTCCGGGGGATATTGAGTCGTTTGTGGAAAATGGGAGGTGCCAAATTTATTGGAACTTTTTATTCCCCATGCTCAGGCAAATACAAGCTGATTAGCCTGATGTAGTCCTTCTCTACCATCAAACCAGAGCGATGTTCGTTATCTTGTTTTCGACGCCAGGCCAAACTCAACATCGTTTCGCAGGAGGAGGAGGAACGGACTGAATATCGAGATCTTTTCTTTGAATTCCTTAGGTTCTATCCAGACCATTCTGTGAAATTGTTCTTCCTGATTATCGGCTCTCTAGGAGGAACACGACATTCACTGCTATCGAGAATCCAGAAGATTCCAGGGTTCCGCGATAAGGCATACATCCAGGCTGGTGGAATGCAGAAGGACGCCATACTTGGATGATTGCGTTTACTCAGGGCACACGGTTTTTGGTCCTAGTTATTATTCACTTCACAGGCTGTGGAGAGTAGTCACTGGATTCCATCCAGCATGACTGTGCGGAGCGTCGGAGGTCGCAGAGTTGTGACTGGAATAATATGAATTCAGATGAATAATACTTATGATATGATAGCAAAGATCTCTTGTCGCAGATTCAAAAATCCGAATAATTTATTCTTGTTAACAGCATACAGAAATATAGTTCGGAAAGAGCGCAGTCACCACTTTTTCATGATGGTGACATAACTCGCGGTCGCTCAGGGTAGCAAACTCTTTGTTATGATGATGACTAAGTACCAAATCTACGATCCTACCACGTTTCAACACTCCATGCACTGTTGCACGAGAACATCCTCTTTATTCCTCTGATATATTCCTGGTATATTCTGCATTGTGATGATTGGTTTGGCATGAGATGAATTCATGAATATTTTATTTGTTTCAGTTCGTGGCACTATAGGACAGAATAACATCTCAGTGCAATTGACTGTGGCCGATACGTATTTTCCAACGACAACTGCCGCGCCCATTAATTTTGGTAATCGTTTCTATTTGAGCGAACAGCAGGTATGTCCATTCATTCACAGCTCATTCAAACAAAAATATGATGTTTTCTTGGCCACTTTACAAAAAACTGATCGAAAATCGGCAAAGCTGTAAATTTTGAATCGGTTTCGAATTCAGTTGATCATTTTACTCAGACTAGATACTATTCTTGATCAAAATGTCAAGGAACACAAGCAGACCAAATCTGATTTTCCAACAACAAATAACCGTCAAATGAAGAATACAGGGTGTCCCGGAATTAGCCTGCCAAACTCAGCCAGCTGCTTCTACGATAAAAAATAGGAAGAAAAGTTTCAATGAACATAAGACGAGAAATGTCTCTTGAGGATGCTACGGCTCCCTGAAAGGAAGCTTCTGAATATGACATTCCTCGAGTACTTCCATATTCATAATCCGAGATCAAATTGTCGAAAAATATGCATACAACAAATTTTTAGCAATATCAATGTAGTACCAACCTTGCTGGGTGAAATTTTGGAACGATTTTATTCAGACTGCATTGAGCATATATAGTTTAGTTCTTGTACCAGATTACATCATTTCATCACGTGGCGTTTCAAAAATGAATGTTCATTCGAACTTTCATTGCTATTTCTGGTCGTTGAAGCCGCTGGTGAAGCTTGGCAGGCTAATTTCGTGACCCTGGAGACAATTTCAAATAAAAACCGAGACAATCATGTTTTTCAATTTATTTTTCATAAAATAATCATGATCATCCAATATAACGTTACCGATTGGGTTGAAATGAAAGAATTTGAAAGGTTTTGCAGTGCATACTATCAGAAAATATTGTGATGAACTGAATATAACCTCATGTAGGCAATAATTTTATTTAGGAATCAACGGTGACATAAACATATAAATATTTCAATCAACTTTAGGCCGGCGTACCTCAGTGCTTCGATGCTTCAATATCGATTCACGTCGAGGTATCGATCGTGGGTTCGAGACCCACGAACGCAGACTTTTTCTGATGGCCTAAGAAAGTGTTTGGGATCACACGTTAAAAGGTAAGGCCCCCGTCATTCTTTGCTCGCACAAGTATTTCGAATACTTCTGAGGGTTGCTCGTAAGGGAGCAACCGAATGACGGATAGAACAATCTTAGAACAACTCATTGAAAAGTTTGGCAAAAATGAAAATTTTATTTGTCGTTATTCGTAATTTCAATACATCCTGAGGAAACGTAAGAAGTCTTCTCGTTTTTTGTGGTTCACACAGCCTGTATTTGATCTGACTTATCATCTCAGATTGCACGTCTCCTATGTCGGAAGTACAGAAGCATTCTCCTTTGCTCGATTAGTGCGAGGGCATTTACTCTAAATACAACTTCTTCACATCTGCAGAATCCGTGAAATGAATAGTTCTTCTCCACTTCGTTTTTGCATTATGAATGAAAGATGTCAAAACCAAGTGAGATTCATGGATATCAGAGGCTGTCTCAACGGAAGTCGTTCTATGATCTTCCATTTCGTGTAGGACACTGCTACGAGAATTGTGATCTGAAACTTCATGTGAATCATCTATATGTTGTGACATATGATAGACTCTCCTGTTGAAACATCAATTTGTCATGATATCAGACAACCATACAGCAGGACTGTTTCGATGAGCTTCATCATTACTAGGCCTTATGTTCGTCAAAACTTCATCTGGATTACAGTGTGGAATTCTTCTTGCTTCGAAACTCAACTATATATTATCTGACATTATTCCTCTGCCCTTCGCCAACAACTTCTCGATTGAGTTTGGGAAATTCCTAATTGGTTTCACCCCGTCGTTATGCAACTCCAGATCTGTCAGAATTCTTTTTCAAGATTAATTCAATGGGCCTTGAGAGAGCTACGCCCAAAGATGTTTGCCAAATTTGGGTAAAAATATTGAACTCATATCTCTAAATGAATGTAAAAAGCTCAAAGTCATTTCCATCGACTCGTTTAAACGAAAACTGATACGAGTGATTCTTTCCTGAATGCCTATTGATTTCGATTAAGCCAGGCCCCTAGACAACCACAGACCGGTTTCGAGCTCTTTGACTCTCATCAGTGCAGTGTAGTCTCCAGCCAGCAGTCCTAAGACCGCCGACTCAGTGAAGCCTAGCCAAACAAAAATCAAGTTGGCAACCCGAGGCGTCTTTCATCGATAAAATGAAAGTAACGCCATCTGAGTAGAACCGGGGAAACAATCACTCCAAAACTGAAATTTCCATACGGGAGTGGCTGGCAGCCCGACTGGCGTGATATGAACTACGAAATAGCCACAATGCTCACAGTGGAATGAAATGATAAATAAATGTAAAAAGCTCAAAGTTATTTCCACACAGTGTTCATAAAATGAACAACAATGGTAGATTTCGGGAGGAAAACAACTACTTTCCTGGCTAATGCCACGCAGGATATTGAAATATATCCTTCTGAAATCTATGCATAGACTGTATGGAAATGACTTTGAGCTTTCCACATGTATTTATCATTTCATTCCACTGTGAGCATTGTGGCTATTTCGTAGTTGTCATATCTCTTTCTTCGGACGCATGAATAACTTGTTAGATAGATGACCGTCCACATTCTGTCCGATAATAACCTATCTCCAATTATTAGGACGTGATGATTCATTCAAATGGTATTTTCATATTGCAAAAAATCCAGTCGTCGATTTCATCCTCGCTCTTCGTGATGTTGAATCCGAATCTGATTTATTCAAATACTGTCTGTAGGTTAATCGAGGAGGTGGTATATTCATTATTCCAAATTTTTTGGGATTTTCTCTCCTCGTTTCTATAAAATAAAAATATGAATATTATTTCAATATACGTGTAGTAAGGACAAATCAGATGATTTGCCCCAAAATGTCACTGCGTTTAAAGAATTTTCCTATCAGAGAGCCTAAAAGAAAAATTCACTAGCTTGTCAGTGACAATTATTATTATTATTATTCAACTGAGTTTTCTGGTGCGTTTCGGGATATTTGTAAAAAACAGTGGAAGTTTTGCACTTTTCTTTGATTTTTTTGTGTATAATCCCATGAAGTATGTGTGATAGCGGATATTCGAATTCCATCCTATGCGAGTAAATCGTATGGTTTACTCATTTGCCTAGAACTGAAGAATGAGAAAATTCAGTTCTGATTAGATTATATCTGAACCCTCCTTCAGACTTGGAAACTTTGTGGTTCTCCAATGAATTCATTTTGATTCCTGGGTCAAATTTGAAATGATGATCATAGTGAGAATTGATCAATGATAACTGTCTTGAATATGTTCAAGAAACTCCAATCCACACGGCCGTGATTGCAATTTCACTGGTGGCTGATATTCGTTGTCTAGATCATTTTTCTCTTTGAGATGATACCGCAGCTCATCTGGAGGCACTTGCTTGTTTTCACTATACAGAGCAGCTATACACTTCTCACCAACTGTGAAGATGATCTCAACATCAATGATTTTGGGATCCAGTATCAAAAACAGCAGATGAAGGATGAGGTCAAAGTTCTTGTCCAAAATTTTCGTTCAATGCTGTGTGTGGATGGAACCACTCAAGAATGTTTCTCTTTTCTTCTGGTTTGGTGGGAAATTATGTTTGCTGGAGCTAATGAGGCTATCAACAATACAAGGGGTTAATCCTCCTCTTCCAGAATAGCCACTGTATTGTGAAAAAATGATAATAAAATGACTGTGAAGAAAATCAGTCTGACAGCATCCTCCTGCGCTTGATAGGTCAGAACATCGATTTCGATCAATTTCGCAATTGATAATTGAATTATGCAAGTTTAGTTGTGTTTATCTGCCCAAAAAATTCCTTGGAAGACTATCGTACACATGGAATATCGATTGGATGAACAATATTCTCAAAAAATCAGTGGATCATTTGAATCATCAAACCAATCAGCTCCTGAGGAAAATGATTCAATTCTTGACTCGCATAGTGGAATTAAATCCATCAAATCGACAAAAATGCTAAGGAGTATCCAGGAAAGGCTATCGAATGGATTTTCTCATACATATCTGAATTACCAGTGATATTTTCTCACGATGATCATAATCTTGCATTTCAATTCAAAATATACTTTATTGTCTTAAGTTATCACTTGTTGACAAAGCTTGTTTTACACATAAAATACATGAAAAATTAATAAATGAACAACACTAGATTCAAAATCACACACTTGTTGACAACACTTGAAATGTTATAAATAAATAAAAATAAATTGATCCAACAGGCAAAATAGGTAATGTAAATATATATTCACACAGCAATTTGAGAGACTCTAGTTAAAGCTTCGCAGAAAATATTCAGTCAAGTTGTACAATGATGTTTGTAGAAGTAATGCTTTCACCTTAGTATGGAATTTTTCATAACATGCGATTCCTTTCATGTCATCTGGCAGATGATTGTATATTTTTATTTCAGAGTAAATAATAGAATCCTCATTCATAGTGGTGCGGGAGATTATCAATTTCATTTGACCACTCTGTCTTGTATTATATCGTGAGGAGACAAGTGGGAGAGACCGTATATTCTTGTGAATCAGAGAAGCTGTTTCCAAGATATATAAAGAAATCACAGTTAGTATACCACAATCCCTAAACAACTCTCTACAAGAATCTGTTGATTTTGCATGGCACATATATCTGAGAGCTCTCTTTTGTAACATGAATCTCCTTTGAAATAATTGGTTACTACAGCTTCCCCAGAACGCTATTCCATATCTCAGGTGGGACTCAAGTAGGGCGAAGTATGTTGTTCTGGCAGATGCATACCCTAATTCAGAGGCAATTGTTCTGATGGCATAGCATCCAGATGCTAGCTTTTTACACATAGATATTACATGGTCATTAAACATCAACTTGTTATCGATATGCAAACCTAAAATCTTGTTGATGTTCTATTTTCTAATATGTCATTACCGATTCCCAAGTTTGGGACATTACAATGGAAAGTCAGAATATTGGTTTTCTCAATGTTGGGAGAAAGTAGATTTCAGTCACACCAGTCTTTGATT